CAAAAAGCTTCACAGCAAGTGTCTGTCTGCGACCACGATCTCGCCTAGAGGAAGCCACGACGTGTCAGAGCAGGGAAGATGGCCGCAGGTTCATCACCCAATGCGGAGTTTGCGAATGGAAGCAAATTTTGCAACCGCTGCTGTTCATGAACCAAATTGTTCATGAACAGAAGCGTTCGTGAACCGAGGTATTACTGTATTAGGAAATTCAACTACTCAGAGGCAAATTACAAAAACTAACAGAACAAATACTCTTGCTTGATGAATCCATCTGTTTCTCTCAACAGGCTTGGTCAATACAATTTTGTTCTGAGTAATGCTTAAAGAGACATTAATTATTATTACTATAGGCCCATTATTTCACATCTCAGATAATGTAAAACATTATTATATAGCTGCTGCAGCACACATTTCTCTTACTGGGCAGGTGTGGTCCAACATAGCTCCATAGCTGTCTTAAAATTCTTCTATTCAAAGGGGGTACATTTCATTCCTACAGCTTGCAAGGTTTTTCTTGCTAAGGTAATCTCTCAGGTTCTTCAAGGTGTTCTGATTTGTATTTTTACAAAGTTTAATATCTTGGAAGCTGTCCCATCCAAATTTATAAAAGTAATACTTGCAGTTCTCAAGGTGCATCAAGAATGCTGTTTTACGGTTAGAGACAAGTATGGTTACTGTGGGTGACAGAGCCTGGTTCTAATGTCTTAATTTCTGGTTGAAATTGATTTTTTTGCTTGAATTTTTTTTTTTTTTGGCTTAAGCAACATACCTGGGATATTGATTTTCAAACCAGTTTAAGTCTAGTATCTAACCCTAAGGTTTATGGATTCTTCTCAAATGGGCATGTGCCATCATTTTATCTCTCTTCAATTCTAATTCTGAAATTTTATCAGGCTTTCACCTTGGCCAGGTTGGATGCACTACCCTCTGCGGTTCTGTTGGGGCAGTCTAAAAATCTTTTCAGCAGTGCTTATGCCCATGTAGAAATGACTCTGTGGAATTCCTAAGCCATATGCTCCTTTGTTGCTCTCTCTGTAGGGAATCTCAAAAGATATATATTTATCTCATTCTAAAGAACTGTGCTGGTAGAGAACACATGTCTATCTGTCACTGCTTCTATCTGACCAGGACCCTGACATATCTTTGCAGGTTGCCCGATTTTGTGCTACCATTTTTGTATCCATCCTACCTACGGCTTTAGCACAAAGTTTAGCACAAATTTTCATGATTGCCACTGCTATCTGTATTACAGTTCCTATAATAATATATTTTACGTAATTTTATTGCATTTTAGGTCTTTTAAAAAGTTTTATTAATAATAACAGATTTATGCATTTTATTGTTGTGCTCTCTGGCCTAAAGGCCAAAATAAAGGTTTGATTTGATTTGATATACAGTGGGGCAAAAAAGTATTTAGTCAGCCACCAATTGTGCAAGTTCTCCCACTTAAAAAGATGAGACAGGCCTGTAATTTCCATCATAGGTATACCT